TGTTTGCTACATCATAATAACCATTTTACAGAAAAAGACAGCCTCCTGGGGACTGAATGTGAATTGTGGGCATCAATGCCTGGTCCCTTTGGGTACGCTTGCTATTTTTGGGTGGGGTGGGGGTGGGGGGRTTAGGTTTAAGACCAACGTGTGACGTGAGTTAATTTTAGGGGTCAGGTTTGTGGAGGGTCCCACCTGCCGCCCAATGGCTCCGCAGAGGTGGTAAATCCCTTAGGAAGTGCACACTTGATCAAGATCAGGTCCAGTCCTGGGTCACTGGGTCCTAACTTTATGGGAAGTGCATGGTGGAGTCAGCTSTTCCAAGAGACCATTGTAGACAGCCTATTGATTTGTATGTGCTGTAAGATGTACTGTAGTGGAATATGGCTGGCATATTCCAGTGAGTATACTGCAGAACTCAGCCAGTACATTGAATGCCTGTCATGTGCTGTGCTTCTTACAGAGGAAGGAAAATTTATGCAGCATAGCATGAGAATTTGGGGAGGGTTCAATTCTGGTTGGGKGTGTGGTTTGGTAGATGTATGTAKGATGTTTACAATGAGGTGTCAAACTCTAGGATGAAAGGTGGCAGGTGATATACATTCCTTCACAGAATGCTAGGCCTTAAATTGATAGTTTTTGTGTCTCTGACATCAAGTCAAACAAATCCTGTCCAGTTTAACCATAAACTTCATATTTCAGTTTTTACCTGCACACTATTGGCTTCAGCTCACATTTTCTTTTTCTTTATTCAGATTGAATGACAGCAGTTTGTCAGAGATCATCTGTTCTTCTCTGGGCTCAGCTCTGAAGTCCAACCCCTCCTATCTGACAAAACTGGACCTAAGTGACAACAAACTATCTGACCCTTGAGTGAAGGATCTCTGTGGTTTCCTGGAGAGTTCAAACTGTAGACTGGAGGTTCTGAGGTCAGTTCACTGCAGCTGTTGGAGATTTTCTGTTTGTCCAACTAAAATCCAGGGGTGCCAGCAGGGGGGGGGCACGTCCCCCCTAAACATTTGCTGGCTCCCCCAGTGCCCCCC